AGCCAGGCTGGTCCGCCCGAGCCTTGCCCTGCCTGGGGCCACGCCAACCCCATTGTTCCGTGCCCCCTCTTCAATCTGTTATTTGCAGAGGCGCCAATTGGCTCAGCCCTGGCCTGGTGTGGGTCCAGCCTGGAGTTGGGGAAACTTCCAGTCGTTTCTCACAGGGGTTAGGTCGGTGGTACTCCTTCCCCCACTCCCTGCCCCCCCCCTACTCCCTGTTACTAAACTCTTGGAGCCCGGGCGTGGGGATGAACCTGTAGCAATCACTTACAGGAGCCACCACTGTAACCCCTCCCTTGCCACCACAGCAGGCTTGCAGCTAGGGGAACTCTTAGCAGTTACTTACAGGGGCCACCACTGCAGCCCCTCCCTTGCTGCCAGCAGAGCTGGAGTCCAGGGAAGCCTTTAGCAGATACTTACAGGAGACGTTACTGTGGCCCCTCCCTGCTACCAGACAAACCCACCACACAAAACCACAACAAGCTGGTAATACAAGTTTCTACCATCAAATCGACCTGTTCACTGTTCTGAAGTACATCCCACGAGGAATGGTTAGCTTGGTTACATGGGCTTCAACCCCTTGAGAGGAACAAAAAGAGATGCAATTGGGAATCTATAATCACATGCTCCACCCAGTGGTGGTCTTATTAGTTTTGATTTGTTATGTCTATTGCTTATAATAATGTTGTATGTAAGACTATGGGCAATAGCTGAATGCCTTTAAAGGCTTCAAAAATGTCTTGGACATACTAGCTGGCACGCTTACTGAAAACAAAGGGAGGACTGTTAAGAAATATTGTTTGTTTATCTTAAGTAAGTACGTTTTAAAAAGAACAAATTGCTCAGAGTTGTAAGGTTGTGTGGTTTAGTATGAGAGCTACTCAGCTTTAGTTACCTAGATAGCAGCCAGATCTGCTGAAGCCTGGGGCTGCAAGCCCTAAATTCCCACTTAGGTCTATTTTTCCTTTTAGCTGGTACAGTGTGCTGTGTTTTGGGGTTTTTCGTGTGAGAATCATGTAGGTAACTCACTGAAGCTGTGGTCATGGCTAAGCATCTATCCTAGGTCTGGAACTTTTCACCCTAAACTGGGGACCTCTGCAGTTCCTTATATTCTGCTGAAAAAAACACAGAAGTTCCAGAGGCTTCAAGGCTACAGCCGTCAACAGCAGGTGGAACTCGTTAAGGTAAGAATAACTGGTGACCTGCCCAGAGACAGAGACAGAATCCAATGAGGTGTCAGATGACCCCAAACCAAAAATCACAGTGGGACCAAAAGTCGTGTGAACAGCACTGTGAACAGCGCCTGAGGGGCAGGTGAACAGTCTGTAAGGGCAGAATTGCCCAGGAATTTCGTGGCTCAGAGTCCCTCTCTGGAGGCACCCAGCTTCAGTGGACCCTGCTGCTGGACCACTTAATAATTATTTTATTTTTAACTTTGATGCCAGAGGCTGTGCTATTGGAGACTTAGGGTTCAGACTGTGGAGATGCCGCCAGACGCCCAGACAGAGCAGGCTTCCTGAACACCTGGACAGTGCCCAGTTCAAGGAAAAGTCTTCATGATAGTGTTAGAAGCACCAGGGCTGCATCCACTTTGTGAACAGAAATAGAGGAAAGCTGTACTATGGAAAGAGTTCTCTGTGCGGCCTGAACAGAAAGGACAGTTTGACTGCTCATCCCGAGGATCAGCTCCATCCCCGCTCACAGACGCAGCTATTCTGGAGATCACAGGGATGACGAAGTAACAAAAACCCTCCTGGGCACAGGCAGAAATCATGCATTTTAATCCCACAACCACATTACTACACACTTCTTCACAGAGTCCACAGGCTTCCCGTCCAGGGAGATCTGGACTGATGCTAAACAACATGACCATAGAACCATAGAATCATCGAATCATGAAGGTTGGAAAAGACCTCAAGGATCATCAAGTCCAAGTGTCAACCCAACACCACCCAACCCAGTAAACCATGTCCTGAAGCACCACATCTACACGTTTCTTGAACCCCTCCAACGATGGTGACTCCACCACTTCCCTGGGCAGCCTGTTCCAATGCCTGATCATTCTTTCAGTGAAGAAATTTTTTCCAATATCCAGCCTAAGATCCTGGAGCTAGACAAAGGCAAGCTTGCAGAGGCCAAAAGCTCCGCAAATAGAAAGTTCTGACGTTATGTGTCCATGGCCATTTGCTCTGTTGCCCTGGCCAGGCTCAGCATGAAGCAGCTTTGGAGAGAAGCTGGCAAAAGAGCAGCTGTCACTTCTGACTCAGAGGCAAGTCCCCTGCCTTCCCTGCTTCTCTTTCAGCATCAGCGACTCGTCAGTTTTTAAACTGAAATCCCTTCCCCAAGTGACCTGTAACCCTTCCAGCAGGACAGCGTACTGTGCACTGGACAGAGGAAAATAAGCTTGGATACAGCAAGAAAACCAACCTTTCTTCTCCCTTAAAAAAAAAAAAAATCTTCTTCCAGTTTGCAAAAATTTGCTGCAACTTCTTTACTTCCCAATTCCAGGTGGCCTGGAAATGCAAACACTGGAGTCTGGGGAGAGGCTTAACTTTCAGAGTTTCCATCCCAAGGCAAGGTGAAAACAGGAATCACGCATCATATGCTGCCAGGAGAAGGGGAATGGGCTAACACTGATGAGTCATCACAACAAGCTCAACAAGGGAGGGACATAATTCTTCTGAACCATTTACCACTACAGTTCCTGTCCTGATTTTCTAGTTGCCATCATGGAAGGCAAGAAAAATCTATAAATTATTACTGTAAAATACTCGGAAGGTCAAACGAGCTGCCAATAATCTCATTTTCAGCCTCTCAACCATGGACTCTTCCGTGGCTAGAGCTGTTCTTGTTGCCTTCATCATAAAAATAAGGAACAGATCACACCTCATGCAGTGTCTGGCATATGAAGTGAAGAGATAATGCTGTCTCTCAAGGTACTCACAAGTCCCCTTTCTCCTGCGCTTTTTCCTCGTGTCATGAACATGGACTTTACTAAGGCAGATGCCGTTCTCAGCAGGAGTTTTCCTCCTGCAGGCTCTCTTTGCTCTCCACTTGCTGCCCACCTGGCCCCCGCATCTCCTCTGCAGGGTTCACTCTGTGCACAGAGCAAATCCTCAACTGCCCCAGTGTCCGCTCTCTGACTGCAGCAGGTAACACAAGATGCGTTTTCGGAGCAGCTGTAACCGTGTCTGTCTGCACCAACAGATCTTCTCCAACACTCATCCACACACAATCGCAGCACCAGGGTGATGGACAGAAACAAAACCAGCACAAAACCAGGGAGTGTGGTGAGAGGACAAGGGGTAACGGGTATAAGCTGAAAGAGGGGAGATTTAGACTAGACACTAGGAAGAAATTTTTCACTGTGAGGATGGTGAGGAAGTGGCCCAGGCTGCCCAGAGAAGCTGTGGATGCCCCATCCGTGGAGGGGTTCAAGGCCAGGCTGGATGAAGCTTTGAGCAACCTGGGCTAGTGGGAGGTGTCCCTGCCCATGGCAGGGGGGTTGGAACTCGATGATCCTTACGGTCCTTTCCAACCCAAATTATTATGTGATTCTACGATTCTATGAAAACCGTGCTCCGGGCTGCGCGGGCTGGGACTGGGGCAGATGCCGAGCAGCAGGAGACGGCCCCGGGCCC